TTTTGGGGGACACAGTTCAACTCCTAACAAGGCAGTAGATGAAGCAGCATTGGTGATGGTTGAAGCCGGCTTAGAAATTCACTGTACAGCTCGCTCTACTTTTGGTATATGTTGAACATTCTCCATAGTAAAAAGCTTTAAAAGTTAGAATTAGCAACAAAATTTTGAGAACAGCATTTCTTTTTCACCAACACAGACATGGTGGAGGTGTACGGATGTGTATACTACGCCGTCATGGTGTTCTGTATAATTCCTGGCATGTAGTTCCCTCCGTCCTTGGATTTTAGTAGAAAGTCTCTGAGACTGCAGTGCGTAAGATGTTTTTATAGGAATAACGTTGAATCTGGGGGAGCCTGGGTGGTTCAGTCGGTTAGGCATCCAACTTTGTCTCAGGTCACGAACTCACTGCTTGTGGGTTCCAGCCCCATGTCAAACTCTGCTGACAGCTCGCAGCTCAGAGTCTGGAGCTTGCTTTAGATTCTGTGTCTCCCTCTCTCTCTCTGTGTCCCTCCCCCTCTGAGCTCACTCTCATATAAACATTTAAAAAAGTAAAAAGAAAAAGAAATAACTTTGAATCTGTCCACCTACAGGATAAGGTGGGAACAAAGTCTGGAAAGCTGGTTTGAGTTCAAAGATTTTGATGGTGCTTTAGGCCTCACACTATCCAGCCTATATCTAAGCCTTTAAAATCCCATCTTATATGTTTCTGCCAAAAAACTAACCACCACCTGTACCCCTTCCCTACTGGCACCCTCCACTAAGGGTAGTTTGGGTGGTGCTCTAAGCTCACATTCATGTCCATTTCTACCTTGTAATTTTGTTGTAGAAATTATCACATGATGTGATATCCTATTTCTTCTTTGTCTCTAATACCAAACTGGGAACTCCTGAACTCTTTCTTTTCATTACTGGATCTGGGATGTCTTATGGATCACCAGTGCCTAAGATAGAGGTATATTATAGAGCTTTTTAACTTTTTGATAAATGAGGCGCCTGGGTGGCTCAGTCAGTTGAGCATCCGACTCTTGATTTTGGCTCAGGTTATGATCCCAGGGTTGTGCAGTCAAGCCCCGTGTCTGGCTCCATGGTGAGCGTGGTGCCTGCTTGGGATTCTCTGTCTCTGTCTCTCTCTCTCTCTCTCTCTCTCTCTCTCTCTGTCTCTCTCTCACAGACACACACCCTCTCTCCCCTTCCTTCTCTCCTCCTCCCTCCCTCTGCCCCTCTCCCCACTCACATGTTCTCTCTCTCTAAAAAATAAGTCAATAAATCCATCCATCCCATGTCCAATTTCTTGTTCGGCTTTAAACAAGACGTTTCAAGAGCATTTCTCTACTTGATGTTTCTATTTTATCACCTCCCCTTGTTTCCTGTGTACACCCCAGTGGGGCTTTCTTCCTCGCTATCCACGAAAAGCATGGTCACTAAATCCCATACTGTTTCCATCTTGGCACAAGCAGGGTTAAGTTTATAGTCCCCACATTATTTGCCAGAGTTGCTCACATACTCCTTCCCTGAAGTACTTTCTTCCTCTGGCATCTGATTTTCCTCCTTTTCTTGACTTCTAATGTTGCCATGCCTAAGTGACTTTTCAGTTCTTCAGCTTTAAGTAAAATTCATCTATGGAGGACTCCCAAATACCTGACTAGCTCTGACCTTTTCTTCAGGCTCCAAAATACATAACAACTGAATGCCTCAGCATCTTCCTTCAGGGTCTGTGAAAGCATCTCAGCCACAACACACACATCTGAAATAGAAGGCCCCCTCAGACCTGCCCCTCTCCTGGTCTTCTGGTAGCTTGTGCAGCATTCATCGTTTTCAAGCCAGAAACCTAGGCGTAATCTCTTAGCTGCTTCATTCCTGTTCGGCACCCCACACATCATCCATCAGCAAGCCTGGTCCTGCTACCAGTTCCTGAAATGATATCCTGCTGCATTATCTGTGCCTCCTCTATCCCCTTGCTCAGCTGCCTAACTACAGCAGCCTCCCGAGTGATTTCTCTCCTCCCTGCCTCCACTTAGGCCCCACCAAGTATTAGATACTCGACCTCACATGTGAATTGTTGAAGATAAATTTGGAGGATCTTAAGGAAGTTGGCAGCATGCTAAAATGTGGATTTTAAAAAGATTACTCTGGCTACGGCATGGAGATTAAACTACTAGATACCAAGATTTGAGGCCAGAAGACTAGGAGACCATGGCACAAACAGTGAGACATGAGAAACAAAATACCACTTAGGCATCTGACCCAGTGCTCAGGGCTCCAGTCTTAAGTTAGCAAGACTGAGTTGGAGAAGGGATGAAGAAGGTGTTGGCAAAAAGTAAAAATGCTCCTCTTTCCCTTACAATAAATAATAAAGACACGAGTGCAGGTAAAATTCATCAAGAAGGTTGTGCAGAGTGGGGGGGGGGGGCGGATTCCAAACCCTAGGGGATACCAAATATTAAAAAGGGAACAGAAAAAGTTATTCATAAAGGAAACTGAGAAGTAAAACTAGTAGAAAAGAGGGGCACCTGGGTGGCTCAGTCGGTTAAGCATCCGACTTCGACTCAGGTCACTATCTCACGGTTCATGGGTTCAAGCCCCACGTCAGGCTCCGAGCTGACAGCCTGCTGCTCCGAGCCTGGAGCCTGCTTCGGATTCTATGTCTCCTCCTCTCTTTGCCCCTCCCCTGCTCATGCTCTGTCTCTCCCTGTCTCTCAATAATAAATAAATGTTAAAAAAAATTTTTTTTTTTTTTAACTAGTAGAAAAGAAAAAGCAGAATATATTATGTTCACCAAGCAGAGAGAATTTGTACACAGGTGAGAAAGGGAATGTCAGATAGGAATCTCAGACACAGTGAGATGCAAAGGATTTTTTTTTTTTAATTGTCAAGTTGGCTAACATACAGTGTATACAGTGTAGTCTTGGCTTCGGGAGTAGATTCCCATGATTCATCACTTACAACACCCAGTGCTCATCCCAACAAGTGCCCTCCTCAATGCCCATCACCCATTTTCCCTCCCCCATCAACCCTCAGTTTGTTTTCTGTATTTAAGAGTCTCTTATGCCTCCCTGTTTGTAACTTATTTTTTCCTTCCCTTCCCCCATGGTCTTCTGTTAAGTTTCTCATTCCACATACAAGTGAAAACATAGGGTATCTGTCTCTCTGTGTCTGACTTACTTCACTTAGCGTTAATACCCTCCAGTTCCAGCCACATTGTTGCGAATGGCAAGGTTTCATTCTTTTTCATTGCCGAGTAGTAAAAAGATTTTTCTTTTTCATTGTATATATAAACCACATCTTCTTTATCTATTCATCTGTTGATGGACATTTGGGCTCTTTCCATGATTTGGCTATTGTTGATAGTGCTGCTATAAACATTGGGGTGCATATGCCCTTACGAATCAGCACTCCTGTATCCTTTGGATAAATTCCTAGTAGTGCCATTGCTGGGTTGTAGGGTAGTTCTATTTTTAATTTTTTGAGGAACCTCCACACGGTTTTCCAGAGTGGCTGCACCAGTTTGCATTCCCACCAAGAGTACAAGGGAATTCCCCATAGGAGCCTTTTAAATAGTTACCTCTAGCCCAGGAGAAGATGCCAAACTAAATGCACAGCCATTCCTTTGGCAAAATTTAATATTCTCAACTGCATCCTCTCCCAATTTTAAGATTTGTTGAGTTCAATTCTGTTTTGTTTTGTTTTTTTTTTCACCACTTTAGCACGTTAGGTCTCTTTTACCTTTTTACATTTATACCTGTCTTGTTTATCTTTGACTCTTTTCTACACTGTCTGCATAGCCTCTTTTGCTTGATGCATGAGCAAGGCTGCCTTCCCAGCTTCACACACCTTTTTGGCATCATGCCTATCTCTGGCACCTCTGGATTAACTATAACATGTTTCTATTTGGACTAGCCATGAGTGTAATCACCCATTGATGAACTCCCATCACCCATGTAATGTCCTGTCTGGGAAGGTAACTTCAAGTGCTTAAATCGTGTGTGTGTGTGTGTGTGTGTGTGTGTGTGTGTGTGTGTGTGAGAGAGAGAGAGAGAGAGAGAGAGAGAGAGAGAGAGATAAGGAATTGAGAATATTTGACATTGTTCAAATCAGGAATATGTAAGTAATTAAGGAAAATTAGCAACATTTCATATATAATTCAGATGCCATCAGGAGTTTCTGTAATTGGGCATGTTAATCTGCTTGTTGCAGAGAACACTTATGGTAGAAAAGAAAGTCTTATATTTAGCTGTAGGTAGATATATAATTATATCTAATACAAAGGTATCTAAGAATAAGGGCTCCTGGGTGGCTCAGTTGGTTAAGTGTCTGACTTCGGCTCAGGTCATGAGCTCACGGTTCATGGGTTCAAGCCCCATGTCGGGCTCTGTGCTGACAGCTCAGAGTCCAGAGCCTGATTCAGATTCTGTGTCTCCTTCTCTCTCTGCCCCTCCCCTGCTCATGCTCTGTCTCTCTCAAAATTAAACATTAAAAAAATAAAGAGGTATAGAATACATATTTTTAAATCCTGTGGTAAATGCTATAATAAGGGGAATGGAGTGTGGAAACTCAGTCAAAAAAGGACTCCGTTAACTTCTGAACTGAATCTGAAGTATACAAAGGAATTTGGCATGAGGGAAAGTAGAAAGGACTACAGATATAGATTACGCACAATGAAGAGAAAGGTTATGAAAATAATTTTGGAGTCTTTCATGGCTTTGGACTCTGATCCCAGACTACCTTTCTGAACTCATGCTCCCCTGGTCACTCCTACACTCACCTTCTTTAAATAGGTTTGTTTTATTCTTTTCTCCACCCTAGTACTTCAGTTCCCATTGATTCTTTTTTTATATTGCTTAAATCTTAACGTTTTCCTCTTCTTATGTTTTCCTCTTATGTTTGGCCAGATACCAAGACCTTATTTAAATACCATCAATACTTATTTATTCTCTACAGTTGGTCTCAGTAACCAAATACTGTATCACAAAAAACATCTTTAGTTTTTTCTTCCCCTCCAGGGTGGAAGGGCAGTCACAAAACCACGAAGTCAACTCAAACACAAGATTCTTCCTTCCAAGAGCTGATAATGAGAAGATCCAAAAGGAATGGACCCTGGGACTTTAAATCAGAAAAACCCTGCATTTATGAATACAGAGTAGAGAAAAGGCAAGAGAAAAAAGAAAGTGTCCAGACAATTTTAGTCACCCACAAAAAAATCCTTGCTGTAGAAAAAAGCCATAAAAATGCTGAATTTGGCCAAAACTTCAGTCCAAAGTCAGTCCTTGTTAAGCAACAGATGGTCCCCAGAGAAGAAACACCACCAAAATGTGAAATACAAGGAAACCGCTTCAAACAGAATCCGTATTTACTTAATCAGCCAAAAATCAACACAGCAGAGAAACGCTATAAATGTAGTATATGTGAAAAAACCTTCATTAACACTTCATCCCTTCGCAAGCATGAGAAAAACCACAGTGGAGAGAAATTATTTAAATGTAAAGAATGTTCAAAAGCCTTTAACCAAAGTTCAGCTCTCATTCAACATCAAATAACTCATACTGGAGAGAAGCCCTATGTGTGTAAAGAATGTGGGAAAGCCTTCACTCTTAGTACATCCCTTTATAAACACCTACGAACCCATACTGTGGAGAAATCCTATAGATGTAAAGAGTGTGGTAAATCCTTCAGCAGGAGATCTGGCCTTTTTATACATCAAAAAATCCACGCTCGAGAAAATCCCCATAAATACAATCCGGGTAGGAAGGCATCCGGCCTTCCTGGATGTCAGAGAATTCACCTCAGAAAGAAGTCCTATTTATGCAATGAATGTGGCAACACCTTCAAGTCTAGTTCATCCCTTCGTTATCATCAGAGGATTCACACAGGAGAGAAACCTTTTAAGTGTAGTGAATGCGGGAGAGCCTTCAGTCAGAGCGCATCTCTTATTCAGCATGAAAGAATTCACACTGGAGAAAAGCCCTATCGATGCAACGAATGTGGAAAAGGTTTTACTTCAATTTCCCGACTGAATAGACACCGAATAATTCATACTGGTGAGAAGTTTTATAACTGTAATGAATGTGGTAAAGCCTTAAGTTCCCACTCAACACTGATCATCCATGAAAGAATTCACACTGGAGAGAAACCGTGTAAATGTAAAGTGTGTGGGAAAGCCTTCAGGCAGAGTTCAGCCCTCATTCAACATCAGAGAATGCACACTGGAGAAAGACCCTATAAATGCAACGAGTGTGGGAAAACGTTCAGGTGTAACTCATCCCTTAGTAACCACCAGAGAATTCACACAGGAGAGAAACCATATCGATGTGAGGAATGTGGTATATCTTTTGGCCAAAGTTCAGCTCTTATTCAGCATCGCAGGATTCATACGGGAGAGAAGCCCTTTAAATGTAACACATGTGGGAAAACTTTCAGACAGAGCTCATCACGGATTGCCCATCAGAGAATTCATACTGGAGAGAAACCCTATGAATGTAACACATGTGGGAAACTCTTCAACCACAGGTCATCCCTTACTAATCATTACAAAATCCACATTGAAGAGAACCCCTAGAAAGTAGATTTGCATGTGCGAAAGCCTTAAACCAAAGCTCAGCAGAATACATGCGTAAAATACAAATGTAATAGATAGGAAAAATCTTCCTGTAACCTAGGCCTCATCAGATTCCGGATTCCAAGGATAAGCCTTGACTATGTAATAGATAATGAGGAAAGTAGAAAGTGTTCGTGCCTATCAGGCACTTTTAAAATAACCTAAAATGAAGAATTCACAACCGGAGACCCTTCCGGCATTTGTAAAATAATTGTTCTCTTTCTACAGCAGTGTATGCTAGAGGTCATATGTGATTGTCATAAACATCTGGGTGAGGGGAGGTGTGCCCTGGATTTTTCATTAAAAAGACATAAATCAGTAATACTTCTTTTTTACAACTAACACTTAATAGCATATAAAAGATGCGATCAAATTATACCCTTCTAGAGGAAAGGACCAAATAAAAGATAAAAAAAGAAGAAAAAACTATAAACTACCTCTTAAGTTTCTGGGGTTTGTCCTTTTCCTGACCTGATGTCAAATTTTGTGCATGGATTTCATTTACAAATAGAAATAAAAGTCTGTTCTCTTCATCCTTGGTCCTTCTAGTAATTGCTGTGAATTGGGAATTTTCTAACCAATCACTCATTCTGTTCTCAGAATTTATTATTTATTTATTGTGAAGTCGTTTATCATGAAAGTATACCTGCTATACATGGAGCGGTCATCCTAGGTACATTAATTAAGCAATTATTTCAAATTTAAAGCTATTAAATATACATGAATTCATAGTGGAAAGAGCTATCCAAAGAAGTTTCATGAATCTAATACCTGTGCCAAAAGATTGAAAGATATGTCAATGATTTCATGACATAAGTAGGTTTTCCACTTAGTATGCTCACGTGTCACACAATTTCAGGAAAACAAAAGGCAATTATAAACAACTCTGTTTTTGTTTTTGTTTTTGCCCTAGTTCTGGGGCAGCTACTATACTGCACACTGGTAGTCTTTAAAAAAATTTTTTTAATGTTTATTTTTTGAGAGAGAAAGAGAATGCGAGCAGAAGAGGGGCAGAGAGAGAGACAGAGGATCCAAAGCAGGCCCTGTGCTGAGAGTGGAGAGCCCAATGCAGCCCTCAAACTCACAAACCATGAGATCATGACCTGAGCCAAAGTTGGACACTAAACCAACTGAGCCACCAGGCGCCCCTACAGACTGGTAGTCTTAAGAAGAAAGACACAGCTCTTAAAGATGCCATGAATTTGAGGGAAGGGGATGGAATGGAGTTGAGAGACTAGCAAACGAGGAAGCAAATTATGTCATAGTATGTAAATATAGCTTTAACAAGCAAATTGATAGATTATGACTGTATTGCAATGCAGATATGTTAGGGGTTTGCACAGGTTGAAGAAAGAGAAGATGGAACCTAGCCAAGGAAACCTGGAGACAAAGCTTTCCAGAGGCAGTGTGCCTAAGCCAGGCTTTGGAAGAATAGGAACTCTTCAGAGGGGGAAATGATCATTCTAAATAAGAGGGACTATGCATGTGTAAAGGTACAGATTGGTAATAATCAGGAACTTTGTGCGAACTCAAGTACAGAACTGAGGAGTAAGAGAATGATCTGTTACAAGTTTGAGGCAAACACAGATGCCAGATAACAAGGTTTATTTGCCATGTGAAGAAGTTAGAATTTTATCCTAAATTGATGGTATCAATTAAAAATGCTGAAGGAAGGGGACCTGGGTGGCTCAGTTGATTGTCTGACACTTGGTTTGGGCTCCAATCATGATCTCATGAGTTTATGGGATGGAATCCTGCCCTGGGCTCTGTGCTGATAGAGTTCAGAGCCTACTTGGGATTTTCTCTCTCCCTCTCTGCCGTCCCCCTACTCTCTCTCCCTCAAAATACATAAACATTTTTTAAAAAAAATTTTTTAAGCGGCGCCTGGGTGGCGCAGTCGGTTAAGCGTCCGACTTCAGCCAGGTCACGATCTCGTGGTCCGTGAGTTCGAGCCCCGCGTCGGGCTCTGGGCTGATGGCTCGGAGCCTGGAGCCTGTTTCCGATTCTGTGTCTCCCTCTCTCTCTGCCCCTCCCCCGTTCATGCTCTGTCTCTCTCTGTCCCAAAAATAAATAAACGTTGAAAAAAAAAATTTTTTTAAGATATTAAAGGAAATTGTTCTGGCAATGATGTGTGGGAGATGAATTGAGGGGGTTGAAGAAAGCTGTACAGATGGATGCCTAGAAATCTGGGCTGTGTTAATACACGTGATCTATGAATGAGAGACCAAACTTCCTGCAAGGCAGACGGATAGAGAACAGGAGACAGATAAAGCATTGAATTAATAATACGTGGTGTTCCAAGCAAATAAATGAGGTTGGTGAGTGAGAAGAGGCTAAGCTGACCCAGGTGGTGTGGCCAGGTGTGTTGTATATAGGTCTCACGTTTAATGATGTTGTCCCGCATCCTGGATTGACTTTGTCAGGTCAGCTTTAACATAATCAGTTGTGGTGTGGTGGGTTGTTTTTTTTTTTCTTCCCCCAATAATGAAATTTCAGCTCTTTTTCTGCTTCAGTAATTGGTACTTAAGTTAAACAGCAACACTAGCTGAAATTCATATTTCCACAAATAAAGATCTGAACAACCCTTTGTAGCCTCCTGTTTTTTTGGCTGAGGGAAGAACACAAGGGGGGACAGAGAATGGCAAGTCTTGTGTCCCATATTACATTTTTTTCTAATGTTTATTTATTTATTTTTAATTTTTTTTTTCAACGTTTATTTATTTTTGGGACAGAGAGAGACAGAGCATGAACGGGGGAGGGGCAGAGAGAGAGGGAGACACAGAATCGGAAACAGGCTCCAGGCTCTGAGCCATCAGCCCAGAGCCCGACGCGGGGTTCGAACTCACGGACCGCGAGATCATGACCTGGCTGAAGTCGGACGCCTAACCGACTGCGCCACCCAGGCGCCCCATGTTTATTTATTTTTGAGAGAGACAGAATGTGAGTGGAGGAGGGGCAGAGAGAGAAGGAGACACAGAATCCGAAGCAGGCTCTAGGCTCTGAGGTGTCAGCACAGATCCCAATGCAGGGCTCAAACTCACGAACCGTGAGATCATGACCTGAGCCGAAGTCAGACATTTAACCAACTGAGCCACCCAGGTGCCCCTCTTGTTTCCCACATTAAAGAAAAGATAAGGCTTCTTTTTGCCAAAGTCTCAAGCTGTAAACCAGTAATCACTATTAGAGATAACTTCGGATCAGTACACATGCTCTGAAGATCGGCATGCCTCTGAAAGTGAGCAGTTAATGACAGACTCCACCTTCTGAAAGTCAACCAGTTAGCAGACCGTCCCATGCCTCTAGACAATCAGCAAATGCCTCGCTCCAGTGACCATAGAAAGTAAGCCACTCAATAACAGCCTTATTCCAGTGTTCACACTAGCAGTTGAATGTCTGTTAATCTATAAACAGGTACTTTTGAAAATCCACCAGTCCCTAGACCAAGTTTTCCAAAACCTTGCATAAGATCAACTCTGACTTTCTTCAGGGAGGCTGTTCTTTCCAACTACAGCTTTTTCTTGCAGGCATGCATGAAGTTTACCTTTTCTGCCTTATATATCAAGTTCAATTTATTGTTAGTGTGCAACCATTTCAACAGCTGAATCACAAGTTATCACCTCAGTCACATGAGTGACAAAGGCACTCATGAGGCCGTGAAGTTATCATATTCAACATTTTCTGCTTCTTAAGGTGACTGCTATCATCGTGTTTTATTTATGTGTTTGAATCCCAAAGGCCAATGTAAATTTCATTAATTCTCAGAACAGTGGGTGTCTATTAAATGAGGGGAAAGTCCTTTTGAAACTTTTATAGTATGAAAAGTGTCAAAAATGGTGGAAAGGCATATATAAACCAGCATATATTAAAAACTAAATCTAAGAGATTTATGATTACCTCAACTATAAAGGGATAAAGTAACAAATTTTCTAATTAAAAGAAATTCAGATGGAAATAATCATAGAAGTTAAATGATTATTCACACTGTGTATCAATCTTTTTAGTACCAAGGACTGATTTCACATACAGGAGTATTTTCTGATTCTAAACTTGCAAACAAGTTTTCAAGTGTCAGGATAAAATACTGCAATAATAAACATGTACTTGCTCCTTATACTATTACAGGGATTATTAAAGACCTAAAATGCTTCATCTTATTATGGCCCAAGATGCAAGTAATCACAATGCAGGAAAAAAGTCCCTTTGCTTTTGCTAGGTTTTTCTCATGAAAAAGGCTTGCTTAGAAGGCTATTGCAAGTAAAATCCCTTCCTAAAGGAGACTTCAGAAATAGAAAATTTTTGCAGAAACTCACTAGTGAGGGAGAAAAAGTGTAATGTTTTAGGTAGAGATAATACCAACGCGAATTTTGGCAAATGTGCTGAAGTGCAGACAGTTTATTCGAAGTTGAAACAGAGTACCGTGGATTCTATGGAAGGTGTTGGTTGGCCTGCTCATACTCTGCATTTCCACATAACGCTGCACAGACAACTGATACCCTTTATAATGTCGCTAAATTATGAAATTGTTGCATCTCACTTCAGCATTTAGACATTTGAGCAGTTACGGGATTTTTGTGATTTTGTTTGCATTCGATAATCATCAAGTATCTAGCATTGAAAAACTCGGACTTCCAGTGTCAGCTAGGACATGTAAACAACTTACAATCATCACTTCTATCCTAACAAGAAAAAGCTGCATGAGCAGAAAAATCAAGGACTCCTCTTTCTGAGAACTTAGGTTACTGGCAAATCACAACACTGATCTGGAGAGACACACCTATCCAGAGAGAGACACACCTATCCAGAGAGAGACACAGCCAAGGTCTGCTTACCTGGAGCTGAAGCTGCTGGAGACACAAACATCTGGGGACATTTGAGTGAGAGTTTTGGTGAATTGCTGGAGGTTGAGTGTGGACCAGCTTGAGAATGAGGAACTTCTATCGGCCACAGTTTTAAGAGGTGCCCCACATCTCCAATGCCATAAGCCCCAGAAACCCATTTGGATTTCCATGGTAGTGACCCGAGAAACATCCCCTTAGGGCTCTGGTAGGAGAAGGGTCACCATTGTGAAAAACACCTAGAGTCTTTTCCACCAAAAAACCTATTCTCCTGGGGAAAAGAGTTTACCCGAGTCTTATGCTAGTGGGATTGGGACATTCCTCCCACTTTAGTGCCCTCTAACCTTTCTGTCTTGCTAAGGAGAAAATAGACAACAGGAGCCAGGGCTTCAAGGAAACAGATTGGGATGCTGCAACCAGGGGAGGGAGTATAGGGCATGGAGGCAAAAAGTTACACCACCAAAGAAACACTCGGGTCACTCCCAGCCCTACACACAGGCCCACTGAAACTGAGACTTAAAAATGAGATTTAACTGGGGCAACTGCATGACTCAGTTGAGCATCCAACTTGATCTCAGTTCAGGTCTTGATCTCAAGGTCATGAGTTCAAGCCCTATATAGGACTCCGCGCTGGGTGTGAAGCCTACTTAAAAAAAAATTCTTTTAAAGATTTGAGGCACCTGGGTGACTTAGTGGGT